AGCTGGTCTGCAAACATGCTGAAGTATTTGGGGGGGCTGGGGAAGGAGCACTGTCTCTGCATGGAGATGCTGATCATGTGAATGCTCCTCTAGGGAGGGAGATGTTGTCTACATTTACCACCAGGTTTAAAAAAATGATATTGCTTTTTAATTATTATCGATGCCTGGTGTGTGTCTCTCTCCCTCTTCACTACCTAGGGAGACAGTGGCATTTGAAAGGGGAGAGATAATTGTTTCTATTGGCATGTTTTCTGTTTCGATAAAGAAAAAGCAAAAATAGCCGCTTTCTGAGCACTTGACCCAGTTTAAATCTCAGCTGCGCGGAGCGAGGCTTCCTTTGGAAAGCAAACAAAGCAGAGCATGTTCCTGCTGCTTGGACATGCAGGCCACTCTCGGGGGGGCTGGGCAAGTGTGGGGGCATTCTAGGTGTGGGAGGGGGCTGCAAAGCATTCTGGGTGATCTAGACAGGCTGTGCGGGGGTGTATGGCCCCAGAAGTGGTGTGTGCAGGTGCAGGCTGTAAGGCATTCTGGGAAATCTGGGCAGGTAGGGACTTGCAGGATATTTGAGGAAACCCAGGCAGCTGATGGCTGCAAGGCATTCTGAGAAATTTGGGCAGGTGGGAGCCGCAAGCCATTTTAGCAAACATGAACAGGTGGGGGCCGCAGGGTGCTGTGGGCAGGTGGGTCCACAGTGCCTTCACTAATGCCAGTCCAGGGCACAGCAGCCATGTGGAGCAGGCTGCGCGGCCCTCCCCTTCCCCCGCACCTCTCCCCACAAGCCATTCATTAAACAGTGAGAGCTGAGCAGGAGAGGGGCCAGATCATTACCATTCGTCACAAATATATATATATTTATTTTGAAAACTTCTCTTTATGCTGCACAAACATTTCCACCAAAACATTCAATTATCACATCTTCTAAAGAGCAAAATAAAAGCTGCAGCCGCTGCTGAGCTTTGCTCAACAAATGCCGATCCCCGGCTGTGGCGTCACTGCTAAGCAAAGGATCCCTTGGGAAATAGCTCCCCCTCTCACACCCAGAGGCACCTACTCTGCACCTCAGAGGACTCCCCTTTTCCCTCTCCCATCACCTATACTGCCTGCTGCCGGGACCCCAAATTGCCCTCCTCTGACCCTCAAACTCCTCTCACTCTGCCTCAAACATTTCCCCCCTTATTCAAATCATGTCCTGTTTTATTTACAGGGCAGAGGGGACATCTACTCTCCCCCAGTTGGGTCCTGTTCGCCAGCACCCCAACAGCTTGATTACATTTAATTTTTGGCAGCTGGTTTTCATACCAAGAAGCTCCACTTTTCTCCTCCTGAGGTAAGGGAGGGCTGCTATTAAGGATGTTCCGTTTGTCACTCTGCTATTTAATTAACAATCCTAATGAATTAATAAGCAAAGGTTCTTGCTGAGATTCCAAATTAATGAAACTGCTGCTTTCTGAGGAAGCGGTGTGAATGGAAGAGATGCTTCTTCGTGGCTTTATGAGTCATAAATGGCCACATCAACATGGGTCTAAATGAAACATCTTATTCCCCAACATGATATTTTGTTAAAGTTGACTAAAAACTGAGAAGAGATTGCCTGTTAAAACTACCCTGAGAATACTCAGAGGTGTAAAAAGCCCTCTAGAATTTAAGGAAATTCACAGTATAGCTCCCAACAATGACCTTAATTCTGCCCCGGGAGTCCTGCCCATCCTCTGCCTAAGGTCATATGTTGTTGAAGTTTGCTCCATTGTCAGGAGTGAGGTTGTTAGCTGCAAGAGCATGTAAATGGCAACTCCTGTACTGGTCAAAGTTATCATTTAGGGACACTCCCTTACTTAGAACACTACAGAAGTTGGGAATTGGGAGATGGTCCCTCAGTTAGAGGAGTTAGTTAGGGAGAGACCAATGGTCTGAAGAGGTTGCCTATTGCTCCATAATAATGTTCATCTTTCAGTTCTTCTCATCCATGTATGCCTGTATTTATCAAAGCCCGTGATCACTACAACTCCCAGTTCTCCATCCAGGCTTTTCACGGTGCTGGGGTAAAGGGGATCAGATATAACTAGAGTGGGGGTTAGAGACAGACAAGCAAGGGGCCAGCTGATGGTGTATACTGCTGGACAGCTGATTTCCTGGAATAAATCATGTGTTGTGAGAGGGCTGCAATGCTAGCCATACAGTTGTGCTGGCTGGCCTCTCTCCCTTGTGGGCACAAATGAAGCTCAAACTCCAGTAGGTGAGGTACCCTGGGGGGAGGGGGAGGGGGGTCCTGTGCCTAGCACACCAGAGGTGGGGGCATACTCTAACCTCTCCTCCTCTCCCTGCCAGGAAGGCTACCACAGCAACAGTAGGTAGTAGCATGTGTTGCAGGGCAGGTGACCCAGACTGGTCTCTCCAGCTGGAGCTGAGATAGATCAGGATTGGAGGAAAGGGCATGACCTGTGGCTGCAAGGAACTGAGGACTATTTGCTCTGTATTAGGGACAGGTGTGATATTCAGGAGTCTGGTATATTCAGGAGTCTCCTGCTGGTGTCTCCCCTTCTGAGCTCTCAGCCTGCTTGTACATTCAAACCCAACATACAATCATTCTGTGGGTCATGGGGCTCTGGGACCCCACAGTGGAACATGGGGAGCACTGACTGTCCTGACTGACCTTACCTCCCCAAAAATGGGGGGAGCAGGGGGCACCCCTCCAGAAGATGCTCAAGCATGTCTCTGTGCCAGCTAAGGCAGGGTAATCTAATTGTCACGCTTCAAAGCAGATGCTTGTTGCCACATGGGTCAGGGGAGAATTCCCGCCTTGGGCTCAGTCAGGTGCATTCTGGGAAGGTTTGCCTTTTCTCTGAAGCATGCAGTTGCAGCTGGCTACAGCAGCTTGCTGGCCCAATGGCTTGAGCCTGCATGGGCAGAAGGAGATGAGAGACGGGCAGCAAGAGGGAAGAATGGAGGAAAAAATGTAATGGGAGGAGGGTGATGGGTCAGTGGTCGGCTCTCTGCCATACAGAAGTCGAGCTGGCTGGTTGACAGGCAGTGACAGTACCTGGAGTTTTCAGGGACTGAGCAGTGAGAGCCCTCGGGCAGTGAGAACAAATGGACTGGGACCTCTCCCCTGCTCCAGTCTCTGAGTACCAGTCTGTGCAGCCCCAGTCCTGGGGCAATGTTTGGCTACCCAGTGCTCTGTGGGGACTGAGGGGTCTGCACTGAGCTCTCTGGGGAGAAGAGGGCTTTCCCTGGAAAGAGGTCTACAGTGCTCTGCATGGGAGTGGCCCAGCACTACCCTGCTCCCCACAGCACACTGGGTGCGCTGCCTGGGCCTGCCCTGCACTGCATTTTGGGGATAGGCATCTGTTCAGACAACTGCACTGGGGCTGCACTACACCGTGTTCTCAGGGGAGAAGGGGTCATCAGCTGCAAAAACTGAGCACAGGGTGGGACAAGATCTACCATCACTGTCCTTTGGCTATCAGGGAGGGGAGGATCCACTACCCCAGATGAATAGGATGAGGTCAGGGGTCCAACTGTTACTGGGTGTGACAGGGCACTGAGGTGCAGCTGTTCCCTTAAGGGGGCAAGCAGCCTGAAAGGCAGCTTGCAGGTAGTGAAGGGGGTTGATTAAGGACTCACCAGGCCAGCAGCAGGTCAGGCTTGAGCTATATAAGCACCAGGTCTGAGCTGGTCTGGTAGTCTAGCCCTGAGAGCCAAGAAGTGAGGACCTCCTAGGAGCAGAGCAGCGGGGCTTCTGAAGTGACTGAGAGGAAGTGACTTTGCAGGCCTGGGAACAAGGGCCACATATCTGGGGCAGAGAGGGGCTCCTTTTTCTAAGCAGGTGGCATGGTTTTCTGTTAAGCCCAGAGAGGATTTGGGTGCCTACTAGAAGATGCAGGTGCTTTTTATTAAGTTGCATTGGGGTTTAGCCTTGAGTCCTGCTGAGGACAGGTTCAAGGCCCATTTAGAGAACCAGTAACTCAGGAGCCCAGGGATTGAGAGTGCGGCCAAGCAGGGAGTGCAGGAGCCCAGAGATGGAGTGAAGGACCAGAAGGTCAAGGAGCCTAGGGAGAGGCTGAGACCTGGACCAGAGGGTCCATGAGCCCAGTGAGGGCCCGAGACCCAGAATAGAGGGTCCCCGAGCCCAGAGAGAGGGGTTGCACATGGGACCAAGGCCCCAAGACCCCAGAGAGAGGGGCTGTGCAGGGACCAAGGATCCAGGAGCCCAGAGGGGACTGAATGTGGGACCAGTGGGTTAGAGAGCTCAGAGAGGCTAAGTGCCATGCAGGGGGTCTGAGGGCCCAAGGGGGCCAAGTGTGTGAAATGATAATATCCGCAAGGCCTGGGGTGTGGTATAGGGGAGGACAGAGCCATGCAATGAGCCCTTAAGGCTACATGTCCCCTGCAGAGGCATGACAAGAAGAGAGGGGCTATTTGGCTTGAGGGATGAGTTGAGAATAAGGGAGTCCAGGAGGGGCCCAATGGTGATTTGTTTGGATGCAGGCTCACTCTAAAGCCCATGGGCAGCCTCCCTTACACTATCTCTAATAAGAACAAGGCATGGTGGATGAGTGAACAAGGGAGGGCGACATTAGAGCCTGAGCCAGGCAGGGGTACACAGCCACCAGGGGATGTCACAGCTGCCCCTGTGGGCTGAACCTGCCACATTGGGGAAGGAGCCCAGGGACAGCTGGAGTCCCTACTCTACAGGAGTAAAACTCCCTGCTGGGCCCAGCTATGTCACCCTCTTACCCACATCCCTCTGCCAGAAGCCTGGTTTTCTGCTTCCCCTGGATGAGCTATTTGGCTCCCCAGCATTCTGTCTGCGGCAGGGCCTGCGCTGGTTTCTGAGTCACATGTCTCATGGTGTGAGGCTGCCACATCACTTACCAGTGGTGCTGTCAGGCCCCTTCCCAGTGCCACAGTAAGCATGGGTTGCACAGTGGTCATGAGAGTCTTCTTTTCCCAATCTCACTAGGACCCTCCCCACTCCTGGCTGTGTGACCTCCAATACTTACCAGTTTGCGCTGGCACCACTGACAGATCCCACACAGGACGATGGTGACACTAAGGCTGATGGTGATGATGGCTGAGACCAGGAGAACATCACGGGAGGGCGCTCCTGTTGAGGAGAGAAGCCAAAGGTTAGACCTCTTGGTGGAGGCCAAGATAAAAGGACAGGGGAGAGGAAGGGAGATGGGGGTGGTTACTGCGTGGATTGGGAGCCTCCACTACTGCCTCTTCCGCTAACACCAGAGCATGGGAGCTGCTGGTATTCCAGGACACACATCTGCATCCCACAGTATCCCAACTAACATTATACAGTCCCTTTAACATTACCCAGCAGTGGTCTCAAAGCAGGAGGTGCTACAGCAAAGCCACACCCCACTATGTATTCATGTGTGCTGTGCTGCCCAGCATACCTCCCAGTGACAGCCACATATCCCTTTGGTGCACCTGACATGCCAGAAGGATATGAGACATCTGGCAAAGCTTATGTGCTTCACAGAAGTGCTAGAGGGCTCTCAGAGCCTTGTTGTAGTGAGTGCTTTAAAAACACTTGCTGAAAACAGCCCCCACCCCAGAGAGGACCCTCTTCTCAGTTATACGCATCTAATCCCACCAAGTTGCTTGGTATGTATGAAGTTACATTTGGCTGTGGGTACAGCGTGTCCTGCCCATGATGCGTGTGTGGACGATACGCTCCCATGGATTTCATATCAGGATACAGCACATTGCAATGAGATGCACAGCACTGAGTATATTGCCCTCCATGACAACCATCTCCAGTCTTACATGGTATTCCCAGTCTCACTAGGACCCTCCCCACTCCTGGCTGTGTGACCTTCAACACTTACCAGATACAACCTGTCATGCATATTTAACTGTTTTATAACATGAGCAAGGATGTAGCTACAAAATGTAGCGGGCCAGTGGAATTTCTTCCCTCTCCAGTCCATTAGACTTCTGGGAAGAAATCAGTCACTGCACCAGAAAGGGGGTTCTGAGCTGGGGGGACCAGAAAACTGCATGCAGTGGGGTTGGGAATAGGTCACAGGAAGCCATGATCACACCAAACAGGTGGGGGATCCTGGCTAAGTCTGGAGTGAGTGAGCAGAGAAGCAAACCTAGGAGGTGCAAGAGAGGTGGTTAATGAGCCTTCTAAAGTGCTTTGACCATGCATGGCGGTGAGAAGTAGCTAAAGAAATTCAGCTTTTTCAACAGGTGAAACAATTCAGTGTTGGACAGCATCAGGGTGTCCCCCACAAGAGGCCCCAAGGGATGGTTCAGGTTTATCCCCTACTCTTCAGCAGGTCATCATCAAAGCAGCAGCAGTGACACTGATGGCAGCTTCTCAGTGTTACAGCTTCTAATGAGGGGTGGTGGGGTAGAGTTCTGACCAACCGGGGCTTGTGTCTGCAGGGTTGGTAGTGCCCTCATGCTGCCCTAGGTCCTGGATTAGAAACCGGTTAAGAGACAGGAGTAAAAGGGCAGGCAGTAATGTTTCTGTTTCAGCCTGGAAAGAGGCAAAGGCTGCAAGGCTGCCTGGGCCAAAAGGGAGGGGGCAACATGTGAAGATGATACAGCATTTGCTAAGTTTGGTGAGGACTAACACAGGCGGCAAGGAAAGACTTCGCCAATGGAGGAGATTAGTGCTGTACAATGGGTGCTGCAATTTAGCAGGGATAAGTGCAGGGTGATGCACATCGGAAGGAACATTCTGAACTGCTTGTACGCTCTGATGAGCTCTAAATTAACCGTGAGCGCTCAAAGAAAATGCCGAGGTGTCACTGCAGCCAGCTAGCAGGAAACCCCGACTCAGTGCGCAAAGGCAGGTGACACTGCAAGCCAGACACTTCCTCCAGAAAGAGGTGAAGACGGACTTCAGAAGAAGTACTGCCAGCACCAAAAGCCCTTGTACCACCCGTGACCTGGCTGGGCTTAGAAAGAACTTTTCCGCATAGCTAAGTCTGTACATTATTGCCATCCATGGGCAAGGCAGGTGGTACTAGCTGCAGATAGACACTGCATATAGGACTGAGTGGACAGCTGGCCTCCCCTGGTGAAGCAATCCCTCTGTTGCTACTGAATCATTTGTACCACACTGGATTTACACCCAGGCTGGATTTGGCCTATTCAGCTGTGGTGCACTCCCCTGGACTGAAATGACTCATGGGGGAAGCTTGCCTCAGCCTCTGTGCTGCAGCCACCTCATGCCTGCTTCATTCTAAAGGGGCTGGCTGCTTCAAAGTGTTGTCTGGCCCCAGCTCTAGAAGCTCTTTGGCTTTAGAGAATGAGTCACCTTTGTTTACTCCAGCCTGAAAACAGAATTCCTCCACCCTGGTAACCCCTGCTATTAATAGCCTCAAATAATGTCAGAGTTTGGGCTCAGGGCTGGGGGAAGCCACACGCCCTGTCCCCAGAAGCCATGCAAAACTCCCCACTGTCTAACCAGCATCCCTTCGCTCTGACTCAGACCAGCACCAGTGGACAGAGTAGTGTGTGTCTCCAGTCCATGCCATGCCTTATGTCTCTGCTGTGACTGCCAGAGTGGTTTTTATGGCCACAGAAGTCACTGCTCAAAGCCCATGCATTAGTCAATGGGAATCTATCCACTGACACCCCTGCTCTATGTCAGACTGGAAACAGAGACCTGGAAGTCTGTGTTCTGTGCCCCATCCTCTAGGCTGAGCAGGCACCCTGATCTAGGACCCTTTTTGTCTCAGACATGCATGTTGTCCATCTCTAAACCATGTGGGAACCTGGTCCCTGCAGATGTCTGCCATCCCAGGACCACGTAGAAGCTGACAGCTAAGAGTGGACAGCTCTGTATCCCAAGATGACTCTTCATTTTCCTCTCTGCTGGCTGCTGTGCCAGAAGGCTATCTGGGCAAGCAGGGTCCCAGACCCATTCTGTGGCAGAGGACAGAGAGAGAGAGAACCAGGCATCCCCTTAGACAGGAACGCTTCCTGTCAGCCAGAGAACAAAGTCAGAGTGGCTTTCTAGCAGTGGACATTGATCCCTGCGGGTGCATGCTACAGACCTGGCTGAAGGACACACATTTGTGTGCATGTGTAATTCATACATGCATGCACATATGGATATGGAGCCATGATGCCAGCCTCAAGGAGCTCTACCCTGCAGCACCAAGGCTCATGCTGGAGTGGTGGTAGGGTCTGGCCTGGCTTTGGAAACCTAGGCACAGTTGGAGGCCAGCTAGTGCCTGAGGGTCCAGGGCTGGAGGGCAGCTCCCAGCAGCCCCTTGCCTCAGCCTGTCCTGCTCTGAATAATGAAGGGATTGATATCACAGTTCTTCCCGTGGGAGGCCACCCTGTGGCCCCTTAACACACATAAGGCACTGGATAAATAACAATCAGCATTAATGTATAATGAATCTGTATCATCATCACCTATTAATAATTAACCAATCCATATTCACTGTGCTCCGAGGAGCATGCTGCTGACTTCCAGCCAAACACCTCTGCTTAGCACTATCCTGTGGCCCCAGAGACACCCCCACCCCTCCCTCCTCTCTCAAAATCCTGAAGCTGCCAGGTCCTTGCCTGAAGGTTTGAAAACTGGGAGCACACTAGACACTGCACTGAATGCAGGTGTCTGTGTGGGTCAGTCACAAACAGGCCACTGCAGAACTGCCCCCACCACCCCCTCCATGGCTCTTCCTGTTCCCACTGTCACAAAAAGCCATGATCCACCTCCTTCCCCTCCCTCCACGTATACACCACGGAGCTATGTGCTGCAAAAGGTGAATGGCATCCCAAAGAGGGAGCAGGGCTGGCAGCAGCCACCTGTGTGACATATCTTCCAAGGAAGCAGCAAGACAAGGGTGTTAGGGCTCCTTACATTTGGTGGGGTGGGAAGCCGCCCAGGCATGCAACTCCCAGGACTCGCGCAGGGGGAGGAGTAGAAGACCCGGGTGCTCAAGAATCTTCCCTACTTTGGGGCAAGCACAGAGACTAATGAACCTCCTGCCTCAAAACCCCAGGGAGCCAGCAGTGCCAGCAGTGCCATGGAGCCATCCACTCCTGGCACCAGCAACAGGGCAGTCACATGCTGGAACCTGGGGCATGCACCCCAAGCTGGCAAGCTCTAAAGTGACTGCTCATTACTCCATGTTGGCAAGGGAGGTGGCACCAAGCCAGGGAGCAGTGAGGACATGGAATGGTCTGGTGAGGACAAGAGGCTCCCACTGCCTTTCCATGTGTGATGGCTCAGCTTGTCCCACATCTGTGCCAGCCTGATGCATCCTATTTCTGCAGGCTGTAAAATGCCACCTGGGGCTGAGTTGCATTGTGCTGGGAACTGGCTGGTTCCCACCTACTGATCCAGGATGAGCTGAGTGGGAGACCAGCATCAGAGCTGGGCAAAACTCTTCTCCACTGACACATGCAAGCTGGTTCAACTGAAGGAATTTGCAGATTTATATCAAATGACACTGCTTGGAAATGCTATTTCTTTGGAAGACTCAGAGCATTCTGTCTGGACCTTTGCAGGCCTTTCAAAATTTACCTAAATTAACTTTAAATAAAAGAGGTTAAAGAACAAGCCAAGTGAAATAAGAAGCTTTGTTCCACTTGAAACATCTTCCTCCCCAATTTTTCAGTTCAGGCAGCAGGCCGAAAAAAATCAATTATTCACACAGTGCTAGCCATGAGTGAGCAAGTCTGAAAGAAACCTCTAAAGAGCAACAAGGGTGGGCAGGGACCTGGCTGGGGGTGGGTGGTGGTGAACATTTCTCTTTACAAGTCAGTCATGGCTGGATGTCAAAGTATGATGGTGGAGAAACATGTTCTGCTCTGTTCTACAGGACCTAACTGCCCCTGGATGCAGGGAATGCTGACTTCTGAAGAACACCTCTGTGATAGCTGTAAATAAAAATTCTGGCTCCTGAATGCTCAAGGTTCCCACGGTTCCTCTGGTGTTGGCCTCAAAAATAAGTATGTGTTGGCCTCAGCATCCAGGCCTAATTCCAAACTGGGCAACAATAGTGCAGCTCCCCGTTGTTACAACTGTCCCGAAGATTGTCAAGTCATCCCACACTGTAACACAAAGGGTTTCAATACTGCCCTCCTCCAGCCATTAGGAAAAGAAGGGTATCTGCTACCCCATAATAGTTATTGGTTGTCATGACCTCCAATTTAAGAATCCCAGGGTAGAAGATTTGTCTCCACTTCCTGTCTCAAACAGTTATGATGCTGTGAATTAGCCACTCCAGAGGTGTGAGCTGAGAGCAAGCAACCCCTATTATATTGCACTGATCTTATCTCCCATCTCCTGTGGGTATGAGGAGACTTAATTAATGTGCGCTGTGTGCTAGAAGGTCCTTTAATGAAAGATGCCATGTACGAATAAAATAAAATAACAGTGGTGATAATAAAATAACATAGAGGAGCAAAGAGAGAGGTCAGATGTGCCACACAGT